AACTGGAGGCATGTATATCTAAATGGATGCACATTGAGGCCATACTCTCGGGTGAAATAAATAGGACACACATGTGTAAATACCGAATAGTTTCTCAGGTGTGAAAAACTGAAAGTGTTAATGAGGACCAAAATGTATAATAGATAATGGGAAATAGAAAGAAAAGATCCAAAGGGGAAGGGGAAGTGGTGGTAGTGGTAGTGGTGTGTGTGTGTGTGGGGGGGAGGGGGGATAGAGGAGAGGAAAGAAGGGAAAGAAAAAATATGAGAATAGAAGGAAAAAATGGAAACAAAGTTTTTTGTAAATAGGGAGGGGTGGAGGGGTGGAAGGGAGGGAGAGGTAATGGGGGAAAAAAACAAGAGCCAAGATATATCATGTACAGGTACAAATTCCCAATGATGAATGTGATCATAATGTATACCTAAAATGTACCAATAAATTTAATAAATTAAAAAAATTTAAAAAGAGAATATATAAGCATCTTTAAGTATTCTTCAAATATCAAATCGTCCAATACACTTTTAGGCTAAATAATTATTTTTGCAGCAGGCTAAAAAATTCTCTTTCTTTTTTTGGTACCGGGGATTGAACTCAGGACCTTGCACTTGAGAGGCAGGCAGTGGCACTACTGAGCTAAATCCCCAGCTGGCTGGTTGGTTGGCTTTTTCTTTCTTTCTTTCTTTCTTTCTTTCTTTCTTTCTTTCTTTCTTTCTTTCTTTCTTTCTTTCTTTTTTCTCTCTCTCCCTCCCTCCCTCCCTCCCTTCTTTCTTCCTTTCTTTCTTTCTTTCAAAATTTGAGACAGGGTCTTAGTATGCAGTCCAGGCTGGACTTGAACTCACTATGTAGCCCAGGGTGGCCTCAAACTCAGGGCGATCCTCCTGCCTCAGCCTTCTGAGTGCTGGAATTACAGGTGGGCAATACCTGGCTCTTTTTAATTGAGACACACATTCACAAAAGTGGAAAGAAAAACTGCTGAACCAGAATATAACCATTATTTATATCTACCCATCACATAGTTTCTTTTATATCTATGACTTGATGCCTGGGAACATACCAAGGAGAGCCTCACATAATGCTACTTTTTAAAGCCTTCCTAAAACATTTACCTCAGTCACTTCAAAATGTCCACATGGTCAGTTATTTCACCTTTTTAAGAGCGAAAAATGGCATTGTTGTTCTAAATGATCGCTTTGTTCCATTTATTTGTCCAATTTCTTATTATAGTGGGTCATATACTGTAATTTTAGAATTTCAACTTATTTGAAAATGTAGTAATTATTTGAGTAGCTCAGGCAGGTGAAGCCAAACTAAAAGACTGTTTTTTTCCCACTGGCAAACCTTCATCTATTGCTTTTTTTTCCCCTTCATCTATTGCTTTGATTAATCAGGAACTGTCACTTCAAATATATCTTTAATCTTTTTTGAAGCATTCCATTTGACATCATTCACCTTGTAGGAAGCTCTTGTGATGGGATTCCAGTCACAATAATTCCTGCCAGTCTATTAGTCCACCTATTTAGCTATCCATTGGTCTATTCTGTATCTTTAGTTTTTCTAAGATGTCTTCTGAGCTTTTCTGAGATGCCTGAAAGACTGTTGGCATCTAAAGTAACAGTCTTTGATCTTACTCCAATTTCTTCCCTTCCCCTCCCTCCCCCTCCCTCCCTTGTCTTCCCTTTCCCTTCCTGTCTTTTGAGGTATTGGAGAATGAACCCAGGGCATTTGAATTGATCTATATCCTTAGGTTTTTCTTATTTTCTATTTAGAGACAGGGTCTAGCTAAATTGCCCAGGATGGGCTTGAACTTGTGATCCTCCTGCCTCAGCCTCCTGAGTGCTGGGATTACAGGTGTGTGCCATTATATCTGGCTAAGATAGAGTTTACTGTGTTTTGTTTTTTTTGCTTCGTGTTACTGGGGTTGGAGCTCAGGGCCTTGTACCTGCTAGGCAAGACTAGGCAGGTGCTCTGCCACCAAGATACACCAGGCCCAGTGTATTCTTTCATGTGTCTGGAAAATAGCCCTTTCCCCAGAATTCTGAAAGAAAACATTACTCCAGTACAGAGCATATTTCTTGGTCCTCAGTCCTACAGGAACCTACAGAAAGCTAATGTAGGAATTTTATAATTAGATCAGTCATTTGCCTCATTGCCCTCTTTCCCAGAACTTGGCTGGATAATCACAGGACTTGTAACAGCAAGAGGCCCTCTTTCCCAGAAAGTAACCCTATAGAAAGCTGGAAGTCATTTTATTCAGACTCAATTGCTTTATTATTCTTGATTTATAATCCTACAAAAGGTTTCACCTTCTAAATTCAACTAAGAGTGAGTTAGGACAAGGAGAAAGTAGTCGTTTCCTGCCTAGGCCAATGAAGAGATTTGCTGTGTTTCAGTCTGTTGGGCTTTTCATGGGGCTGTTTTTAGTGCTTCATTTTTGTTTTGTTTTGTTGATGTTTTGAGACAGAGTTTCACTACGTAGCCCAAGCTGGCCTCAAACTTGTGGTGATCCTCCTTGCCTCAGCCTCCCAAGTACTGGGATCACAGGCTTGAGTCACCATGCCTGGCTACTATATTTTCTAATAATAATGAAATAATATTGAGCTTCTACATTGGGTCAGGCATATGTTGGTAAACTACCTTTACAATTTTCCACAGATAGTAGTATCTTTTTTTTTTAGTAGTATCTTTTAAATGATGAGAAAACAGCAGCTCAGAGAGGATAAGTTACTCAATGTAACACAGAGAACAAGCTGCCCAGCCAAGACGAATTTGGATTTGGATCTGTCGAGCTTCAAAGCCTCGGTAGCTAACTTATGTCCTCAACATCATCCTTCCGTTGCATGCGTGTGCGCTCTCTTTGAAGAGTGCACATTCACTTTGGACTTTTGACTCGTTCTCAGGGTGTCTTTCTGAAGATGCAGTACAAGGTCTGTGGAGAAGAGGCTCAGTTCTTCCAGTCTTACTCAGATCTTATGGTGTGCTCTCCTGCTCACAGCTCCAGAGAGAGGCGCCAGAATCTGGCTTGCAGGTAGGTAAAAATGATGTAGATGAACGTCTCGGACCCTGTCAGGCTGGCCTCCATGCTAGGATTGCTCTGAGGTTGGAAGCCCAAAAGCATCTTTGGGCTCAGTCCAATTTGGCTGTGAAGATTTCCTGCAGTTCAGCTACCTTAGGAAGCATAAAATTTAGCTTCACTGAATTGCCTCGAATCATTTACTGAATACTTACTATGAGAAAATCTTGTACTAGGTACTTTGAATAAACAGTCACTTCTCTCAACTTAATGAGAGAAAGAATACAGCCATGTAGTGGAACACAGAGCCGAGGACGGTGAGCATGAGTGTAAAGCCACAGAGTGGCACATGTGGCAGTGGTGTCTGCAATGTCCTCATGAAACCTTAGGTTATGACCTATTATCTGGGATGCACCTTGGTTGTGAGATGAGATCATATCTAAGTGCCTTCATTACAAAACAGATTGCTGTTGAGTCAGTTCCTGGAAGCAATCCGTGATTCTATGGTGGGGAAACCAGAAGAGGTCACAAGGAAGGAAAAGTGGAAAGAAGTTGAAGGCAATGAAACTAAGCTTCAACATTTAAGAGCAAAACAATATTTCTTCTTAATATCCAAACAAAATAAATAAACAAAGAAAATGGCCAACTTGAGAGGAACTGGAAGCATAGATAACAATAGTTTTTATTTCCATTAGCCCTCAAAGCTAAGGTTTCTAAAGTACTTTACAAAATACTATTCCTCACAATCTCTTTATGAGAACGGCAAGTGTTGTTACCTCCATGTAAAGGTGGGGAAAAGAAGGAACAGAGGTTTGCTTCTTTTATGCCAAGTGAGACCAAATATTTTGTGGAGCATTTGAAATGAGACTTGAAAATTGAGAAGCAAGGAGAGAGAAGGCTGGAAGAATTTGTAATTGAGGGGCATAATTTCACACCACATAAGTGTCTAGCGACATTAATATAGTGAATCTTCATTTCCAGTGAAGTGGAATGAAAGCCTTGAATTGCTTCAATGCCCCACATCGTGCAAATAGCAATTTCAGCTTCAGAAAACCCTCCACTCACAGTAAAGTTGTTCAGTGAAAATGGTCGTGATGAGGATTTCACACATAATTGTCAAAAACATGTTCATAGTTGTACCCTAGACATATACACGCACACGGGCCTTCGCAGTTAAATATTAAATATTTATAGGGCTCTGTGCAGACTCTTGAAATACACTAATGGATATCTATTATGTTTTGGTTTCACTGTATTATTTGTTCACATATTTCTTTTTCATTCACTACTTACTTTTCTATATGCTGCTTTTCTGTGATCTCTTTCATTTGGAAACTGTTCAGGGAGATATGCCCAAGGATGATAGATGCAATAGCTTCACAGTAATGGGTATTGTGATGATAGTTTCTTATTTGTGAAAAATAATCTACAAATATAAGTACATTCTGATTTTCTCTAAGTCCAAACATTCTCAGTGAGAGAGGTGGCACATGTAGTTACTACAAATATATGTAGGGCAATAAAAAATATGGCAAATTTTAATTTTAAAAAGTGAAAAACAACATTGCCAAGAACAATTGGATGAGTATATTTGAAGCATGGAGAGTATTTTGGTACCGGGGATCGAACTTGGGTCCTTCCGCTTGCACAGCAGGCAGCAAAACCACTGAGCTAAATCCCCAGCCGCAAGGAGAGTATTTTGAAGGGGATTAATATATCTTTTTTTTTTTGGTACCAGGGATAGAACTCGGGTCCTTCCGCTTGCAAGGCAGATGGTGGAACCACTGAGCTAAATCCCCAGCCCAGGATTAATATATCTTTTACTGTATTTAAACTTAAATGTTCACCATATTTTTTATTATCCTGGGCTCTAATAATCTTCCTGGCTCAGCCTCCTGAGTACATGGTACTACAGACATGAGCCCCATGCCTAGCTGTGTATATATGTGTACGTGTCAGTGAATAAACAGTCACTCCCCTCGATTTAATGAGAGATACTATGTTCAATTAGTATACACATAAAGCTGGTGGATGTAAGCCTGAATATAAAGTCATATAGTGGCATATGATATCTACAGATGGATTTTTTTTGTGGTATTAGGTATTGAACCCAGATCCTTTGCACTGAGCTCTATCCCCACCCCACTTTTTTGTTGTTGTTGCTGTTTTTGAGACAGGGTCTCACTATATAGTTTAGGCTGGCCTTGAACTCACTATGTTGCCCAGGCCGGCCTCAAACTCATGGCAATCCTCCTGCCTCAGCCTCTCAAGTGCTGGGATTACAGACATGTCACATCCCTGGCTCCCCCTCCCCCCATTTTAAAAAATCTTGAGACAGAGTCTAAATTGCCAAATTATTCAGGCTGGGCTCAAACTCATAATCCTCCTACCTCAGCTTCTCAAACTGCCAGGATTACAGGTGTGCACCACTATGCCTGGCTGTTTTTAAATTTTTTGTATTTGAAGTTGAAATATTTAGAAAACTAGGTTATATATCAATAACTTGTTAGAATAAAACCTATTGATCTGGACATCAAATTAGGTGAAAATGAATTAAATGCTAAGGAATATACTGTATAGCTCTCGTTTTAACTAAGTAGCATCCTAATGCTCATTTCATCAAATATTTGAGGTAACATTACTGCCTTCATTATTAAACAAATTTCAAAGGTTAATCATACTTAACCTTTTAGGGGAGCAAATCAATCCCTTTATTCATAATAAATGTTATAAATTATCAAAGCTGCTTCAGCTTCCTTTTTACTATATTTTAAAGTTATAATGCACTATTTAAGGTTTGTTTTTTGAGACAGAGTTTCACTATGTAGTGCAGGCTGGCCTTGAACTCACCATATATCCTAGGCTGGCCTTGAACTCTTGATGATCTCCTGCCTTAGCTTCCCAAATGCTGGGATTATAGGAGTGTGCCACCACACATAGTTTTTAAAAAAATTGTATTCAAATATAGCTATGTCTTTTTTTAAAAGCTGGTTTGGCAGAGAATTAAGCCATAGAGCTCTAAGGACTCAAGTGTATGTAACAGACTAACTTCTCTCCTGTGCATTTAGAATGGCACTAATTAAGTACCATTCTTAGGAGGGCTGAGAAGGTAGTCAAGGAATTTTCTGTCTATGTACCACAGTTCTGATGAGAAATCTTGATTGACAATGTTAAAGTCCTCCTGGTTTAGTCTTCTTTGCACTTGCACCTTCTCTTAAAAACCTCCCCTACTCCACAAAATGTAAACAACAAATAAGCCTGTGGGGAAATCTGCCTTCTTGGAAGACACACCACTCCTTACATATAAGCGCCCAAGTTACAATGTCTCAGAGCAAGTAAAGGCTTTACCAATGGCAGACAGCTCTGATAAACACTAGCAGTCAAGCCAATATTCTAATTACCCCTGTAAGATCCATAGAGATAGAAAAGAAAGAAAATGTAGCCAACACAGGGACTCTGAATCCTTTTGTCTCACAATAATCATGTTCTGTTTAATAAACATTTCCAGCACTCACAGACTATTTAATGTCTTCCACTAAATATGCATGGCTGGTAGTTAAACAACAGAAAATAAAAACACAAAAAAAGATGTTATAATTGATCTCATGAGCTATCATGTTCTTAATTTTTTTTAAAAAAATAACATGAATAAGAAAAATGAAGGCTAGAAGAGAATATGGTTTACTGTTACAGATATTTGCTCTAGTCTTTGTATATGTTTCTCTTCGGTTTTGGTTGATTCATTATTAAATAGAGAAACTTTTACCAGTACTCTATTAAGGTTATGGTTTAGATCTAAACTGTCCCCCATAAGTCTCATGTTCTGAGGTGGGACTTTGGAAAGTGACTGGCTCCTGGGGTACCACAGCCACCTGTGCTGTTGGGAGGTGTGGCCTGGTTGGAAGAAGATTGTATTCTTGCTCCTGGATCCTCCCTTCTCTCTCTGCCTCCTAGTTGCCATGGCTTGAGCACCTTTTCCTCTGCCAGGCCCCTCTGCCAACCTGTTTCTGCCTTGGTGCCAGCCAGCCATGGGCTGGAACTGTGAGCCAAAATAAAGCTCTCTTCCTTTAAGTCACAAGTGTTGGGTATTTTGTCCCAGTCATGTGAAAGCTAACTAACATAATTAGTAAAGGTGATACTTTTAGTGAGTAAGTAATAACACTTTTCCTATTTACCTTATTTCTGTTCCTGTACTATCTTCTCCCAAATTACCATTTCTTGGACTATGTGGATTTGGAGCTATAAATTCTGACTTAAATGGCTAGTAAGTAAAACACTGCACAGAGATTCTCCCAGTAGGTGATTTATTCCCTGGGAGTTATGACTGAATTTTGAAATCTGGGTTTGTTTTGTTTGAAACATTTCTAGCAATATAACTAGAGAATCAAGCAACCATACATGACAGTTCAAGCTAAGTCTTGCTAAAATTAAGATATAGGAACATCAAAGGGAAATGGAAGGCTGTTCATCTCTCCTTCTGGAAATGCACTTTGCAAGTACATTGAATTTGTCAGCTTGCCTCTTTCAATTGTCCCAAAATTAACATATAGCTTTAGGCAAATGTCACTTATGGAGCTAAGCAATAGATTTCAAAGGCCATCATAGGAATGTAAAATAAATAGCATTTACAAATTTATCCATTTTATGTAGTGGTATGACAAGTAATGAATAGTTTGTTCATTTATCTTGAACTACAGAACAGCTATCATTTTTCTTAGATGGAGCACAATGATCATTCCTCCTTGGTACAATACATAACAAGTTTCCTAATGAAGTCACTTAACCAATCCAGTGTAACTGATTATTAATCTCTGATGTAAAACTCAATTTCAACTAAATCTAATTATGCAGCAAGGGATCTAAGTGTTAGTATATACTCAATGTACATATGAAAAGAAGATATTGTTTTGCCTACATTTCCCCTTGATATAACAAAACACTACTTATGACATGTAGTACCATGATTTAGGTAATAATGTCACTAGTTAAAGCTACTTTATGGATATAATACATAGTTTCAGTGAGCCTATCAGACACGTATCTTCAGGAAACTAGGCTTTATTGTTTCAGATACTTGCCTGCTTGTTTCACAAAACACTTTGTTAAGTGAAAGGAAGAATAATGTCTCCAATTGAAAATCAGAGGGAGTTTGGGGCTGACAGAATGCAATTGCCCAAGTTAGAGTGAACCAAATTGATCTGAAATCATTTAGATAACAATGTGACAGGCAGTGGACACCATTTGTTCATGAAGACAGATCATGCCAGGCAAATCTGATTTATTTGGTCTTATAAAATTACTCAACAAGTTTGTGGATAAAGAAAACGCCATGGACAAACAATATATCTAAATGTTTGTAAAAGCCTTTGATGTGGGTCTGCATGAGATTAAGATAAATGAAATGCTAGGGTGATGTCTGGATAACAATGCAATGGTGTGGTTATCAGATTTAAAACAGAATAATCATAAAAATAGATCATAATATCTAACTAATATATTTGGCAGAAGACCATAAAAAGGGCTAGTATCTTTATAAATCAATACTGTAAGCAAGTATAAAATGACTTAATCTACAAAAATCAGTTAATTCTTTTTTCAGGAAGTACATATCTCATAAACAGAAATTTGTTCAAATTGTTTTATAGCTTGTCCAAAATCAACTATTACTTTACTTTGGCCTCTACTGATATTTAAGAAATTTGGAATCTGTGGTCAGGAATAAACAACATAAAATACCATGAAATGTGTAGGGGGTGAACAAAGACACATATATAAACTTGTCACGTATAACTGCAAAATGCATATTATTTTCAAGCATATGAAGTGGATATTAAATCTAAACATATAGATATAAAGATTGACAAGGCTCCCCACCACCCAAGCCAGGTAAAAGACTTTCATCAGTATTCCCAAATGTTTATTTGGAACACAAACACATTATTATTTGTAAAACAAAAAGCAGGTTGGATAGTCAGTCTCCACCCTTACAAGTTTACAAGCAATGCTAAGTACATATACTCATGTACTTGATAGGAGCATTAGTATGAGCGAGTGATGGTGAGGATACTAGTTTATCTCATTTAATTCTCTTTATATGTGTTATTATATAATGCCTAATTTTGAGATAAAGAAATAAGAGAAGTAAGTTTTCTAAGATATTCTCACTGGTAAATGACAGTGCTAGGATTCAATTCTACTCTTTTTATGTTCAGTAAACCAGTTCAAGAAAATACTTATTCATTTGAGACTGAAAGTAAAGAAGGAAGAATTCTTTTTTCATTTTTGGTACTGGGGATCAAACTCAGGACCTTGTGCTTTCGAGGCAGGCGGCGGCACCACTGAGCTAAATCCCCGGCCCAAGAAGGAAGGATTCTTACAGAAGAATCTCTAATAATATTTGGAGGCCATCTTTGTGCAACGCTTGACAAAGGTTTAAGTGACTATGATACTGAAGAGTTACACACCGAGCCAAAGAAGTGGTAAAATTGTTTGATGAAAGAGCTGTTATAGAAGGTGGAGGTAGTTGCTAGGGATTTGGAGTGTAGAATGGCTAAGGCAAAAGACCTATCATGTACCCAGAATAAAAGAAATTAAAATGCCTCTCCTAGGTGATGTCTTATACCATCAAAAAATCCTTTTCTTCTCGTTTATGTTCACTATTTTCTTTATGCTTACTATTCTTGATGTGAATCCCAATTTCAACGGACAGTCTATTATGACCCGTTGAAAGTCAAGCTGTGGATTCCCTCTACTCTCAAGATTTTGGAATGTGCATTACCTATTTTATTGCTTAACACAGAAAGGAAAACAGAGATAAGAATGATTATATATCAATCAATTATTTAAATATACTTAGCATTTGAATAACTAAGCCCCCATCATCTCCTATCAACTATTTTAATATTTTTTGGCTGAGTTCCTTATTCCATCTTATCCCACTGTCTTAGCTTTTCCACACCTTCCCTCCACCCACACCTTTATTTCAATATAGCCATTAGATTTATGTTTCAAAAAAACCCCCCCAAATATATATTTGTGGCATTGGGGATTGAACTGAGGGACTTGTATATGTTAGGCAAATGCTCTGACACTAGGCTACATTCCTGGCCTCCAAAATAAGGATTTGATATCATTTAAATGCCTTTTTAAAAAAATCAGCAGGTTTTACTGAAGAACATCCACACACAATTTAATGTGGCATATAATATTTCAGTCTCAGCTCTGCCACTCCCTTTCACATTCTGTTACAATAAGAAACACCAGACATCCATTTATGTCCATATACAGAGAATACTATGCTGTCGTGCCTATCTGATGAGAAACTGGGGTCACACGGTAAGTAAATGGCAATGTCAAGATTAAAACTCAGGTCTCACTGACTCTAACTCATGGACCTAACTCTGTAAACCACATTTCTGACTTCTGTCTTTCACATGTTTGGTAAATTTTGTTTTAACCACATGGTACAAAATTAATTTTGAGCATATTAAATGCTATACAGGCTGGGCATGGTGGTGCATGACTATAATCCCAGCACTTAGGAGGCTAAAGCAGGAGGATCACCATGAGTTCGAGGCCAGCCTGGACTACATACATAGCAAGACCTTATCTCAAAAAAACAAACAAAAAATGCTATATGGAATCACTGTCTTGTATCATAATTGAGTATAAAATACAAGCCAGGCATATAACAAGTTATTCTGTATTTCTGCAGAATTTATGGTTGCCATTAATGTCAATAGTTTTCCTTCACCTCTGACACTGAAATAACTCCCACTCATTTAGGATTCACTGTGTGCCACTCATTGTATATTTTACATGCAATGCCCAAAGCACCCTGTGAGATAATAATATTATTAATATTATTGGCACTGGGGATTGAACCGAGGACCTTGCACTTGCCAGGCGGGTGTGGTGCCACTGAGCTACATCCCTGGCCTTAGATAATTATTGCTATTCCCATTTTGCAAAGAGGAAACTGAAGCTAAAAAGGGGTAAGTTGCTCAAGATTAAACAGCCAGAGGTAGAGCTGGAATTGAATTCATTATTTTAAATCCTGTGCCCTTGACCACTGTCTTACACTATCTCCTGTTAAAGCTCTAGGTTGAATTTCTCAGCAACCTGATTCCTACCCTCCATGCCTAATGCCTGAAATCCCTTGTTTCCCACATATATAGTTTTCTCCTGTCTGTCATGTGTTTCTGAGTAGCCAATCAGCTTCTTGTTTGCTTCCATTTTCCTGGTATCTGGGTTACTTAAAAGCTTAAAAAAAATACTAGAATTCTCTAGGGAATTATGTAGGGAATGACTCAAATGGGAACAAGCTAAGCCATGAGTTGAGTGGCTAATGCGGGGAAGAAAAGACTTCTAAGAGCACGTGACACAAGGAAGACCTTACGATTCCTCTCATTCCTCTGCACCAAGGTCCCCAAATGCCCAGGATCTGGAGTCCTTATAACTTTGTGTTTTCTCTCCTCTGTGTTCATGCAGAATGACCTTCAAGTCTGTATGATCAATTCATTTATGTATGTCCAGCATTGTTCTAGACACTGGGTATACAACTATGGACAAAAGAGCCTGCCTTGGTGGTTCTCATAGCTTGCCGGGAAATAACAATGAACAAATGTAGTAACAAGGACTGATAAATGCTAAGAATAAAAGAAAATGGAGGGGTTGTATCTCAGCGATACATTGCATGCTTCCCATGTGTGAGGCCCTGGGTTCAATTCCAAGAACACAACAGCAACAAGCTGAGTAAAGGGACAGAAAATGATGAAGGGTGGTGGGAGGGTTGTTATTTATTAAGGTGGTCAGGAAGATCTTTCTGACATGGAGTTCTTTAAGTAAAAACCTGAATGAATTTAAGGAACAAGATGCAAGCATGTCTGAAGAAAGAGCATTCTAGCAGAAGAAAACAGCTCGAGGTGGAAGTGTGCTTATCACATTGGAGGAGACTAAGGAAACCAGGATAGAAAGGAAGACACCAACAGGAGGTGTGATTTCAGAACAACCAGTGCTGTACTCCGAGTAACTATGATACACAGTGTATTAACTATGTTATTCTCTTAGTATTTTGTTGTGAAATTTTGTTTTTTCATAAATAAAAAAATATTTAGAGCAGTATCTGGAACATATTAAATTCTACTGTTCAATAAAGAAATCATTGATTATTGACCTTTTACTCAAGAAAAAAAAAAACCAGCCAAGGACAAATGAGAGCTTTGGATTTTATTCTAATGTGATGGGAAGTCATTTGAAGATTTTGAGCAGAAGAGTGAAACGATCAGGTTTATATTCTAATGGAATCCATCTTGCTGCTAAATGAAGAATACACGATAAGGGGGGCGGGGTGGATGCAAAAGACCAGACAGATTATACTGATAATCTAAGAAGTGTTCAGATTCAGGAAATGCTTTAAAGAGAACTGATAAGACTTGCTAATGGGTTGATTATGAAGTGTTTAGCTTGTGCTAAAAGTTTTTGGGTTTTGGCCTGGGCAAGCTAATTGAATGAAAGTGCCATTTACTGAGCTGAGGACACTAAGATGGGGATTAGATTTAAGAGAGCAAGCCAAGCATGCAGTTTTAGATTTGGGAGAGAAAGTTGACTTACAAGTTCTTGGGGACCACAGGCCTCTAGTAGCTGCCATTGGGATCAACCTTTTATAAGATGTGTCTAGGTGGAAGTGACAGGCAGAGAAAGAGCAGAAATAATTTCCCTTTGAGTAATTCTCTAGATATCCAAGTGATCAAAAAGTTAGTCATCTGAGCCTGTCTTATTCTGGACCAGAAGAAATCATTCTCTTCAAAAAATTTCCCAATTTCTGAATTCAGATGTAACTTATTCTACAATTAGAGATAGAAAGCTTAAAATGTAAATAGCTTCAGAAATAATCCAAGCTGTGTGAGTTTTTGTCACAATATAGCAGATGAAGGTCCTGAGTGTTTTAAGGGGGAGTAGTTGTCAATGTCAAGAGAAACCATGTAGATAAAACAAAGACTAAATGCTCTTGTCTGACACTGTCCTACTTATCATAACATCTAAGTAAGAGTCGAGAAAGAAGTGTTCATATCTTGAAGGATGATCCAGGCCAGTGACAGCAAACTTTTTAGAGATTTCAAAGATATAGTCTGCTGTGGCACCCATGCTGTAGGTTCGCCACCACTGCTCTAGGCTTATATTTGAGTGAGGAGTAGGTGTTTAAGTTCTTTCTCTTTCCTACCTTTCAATCCTTAGTCTCTTCCCAAAGGTGTTCTTCAACTTGAAGACTGATGGCATGATGGGTGACAGCATGGTAGAAACTTGTCACCTTTCTGCTAGGACCAGATTTCAAACAGTTGGCCCTGGAGAATGCTACTTATCTGTACAATGCTCCATTTGGTGTTGCGGTGTCCTAGAGAAAGGGTTACCACATTCAACACCAGAAAGGATTTAAGGCAGCTTTTATATTGTGTGTGTGTGACTGATTACCAGAGTAATACTGTATATACTTATTGCAGAATATTTAACAAAAACTTTAAAAATCAAAACAACAAAAAGACTTAAAATTCCTACTAACTAGAGGCTATTACAACATTTTGGTACATTTTCTTCCAGTGTTTTACGGATTTTGTTCTTTTATAACTGAGCTCTCAATTATATACTCAACTTTACAACTTTCTGTTTTTTTGTTTTTTTGGTACCTGGGATCAAACTCAGGACCTTGGGCTTGAGAGGCAGGCGGCAGAACCACTGAGCTAAATCCCCAGCCCTGTTTTTGCTTAATTTTTTTTTTCTTTGGTACCGGGGATCGAACTCAGGTCCTTGTGCTTTCGAGACAGGCAGCGGAACCACTGAGCTAAATCTCTGGCCTGCTTAATGTTATGATATATGTACTTGTTCATGTAATTGGATTTTTATGGCTACCTAGTCATCTATTGTATAGTTACACTATGATTTACTCAAGGGAATTTCTGATTATTTACAGTTACAAATAACAGTGTGTCAAACAGCACTTTGCGTAAATCTTTGTTCTTATCTTGGATGTCTCACTTAAAAACCAATTGATTAAAGGTATATATTTTAAAAAGTCCTTTGTATACACTGTTACTCCAACTTCCAGAAAGACTGTTATTAAATTACATTTGGGGGCAAGGGAAAGGGAGAGCTATCAGAACTACTGGCTCTGGTAGAAAATATATGACAGAAGTTCTTACAAAGTACAGATGCCACTGGAGAAATGGAGATATTTTAAAGTATTAAAATTTTTACATCACATTTTCCAAATCACATAACACATTTGGGCCATGAAGGGAAAGGAAACTGAGAAGAATTTGAATTAAATGTTTTACGTAAACTGACATGCCAACATGTCCGAAATGATCAATATGGAAAAGTAAATTTACCAGTGTTATTAAAGAACTCAAATATTTTCTTTTTTTTTAAGACATGGTCTTACTGTGTAGCCCAGGCTGTGCTCAAGCTTGTAATACTCCTGCCTCAGCCTTCTTCGTGCTGCGATTACAGGTGTACACCACAACTACTGGCCTTCAAATATTAACTCAGAATATTTTTATTATAAAGTGTCAGGTTTATTTACTAATTTTGTATGATTTCATGCTATTTAATGGAAAACAACTGGGCTTTTAATCCATTAGTTATGAAATCACTTTGTTTGCTATCATCAGTACTTAAAGAAAGAAAATACAGCCAGGCATGGTTGTGCATGCCTATAATCTCAGCACTCTGTGAGGCTGAAGCAGAAGAATTGTAAGTTCAAACCCATTCCGAGTGACTTAATGAGACCTTGTCTCAAAATAAAAAATTACAAAAAAAGAGAGATACAGTTCATTTCAAGGGCCTGGGTACAATCCCCAGTATCAAAAACAAAAACAACAGAATTGAATTGAAAATGCGAGTGTGCAGTACACTTGGTTAAGGGAAGTATTTCTTTGTGATTATTTTGTTATATATGTATGTAGTATAAAACATACTTGTTGTGGGATATGATTAAGAAAAAATAATTCGAAGCCATTAGTAGTGGAAAGATTCTGGACTTTGGGATTAAATAGACCTGGGTTTGCATCTAGGCTGTGTGACTTGTACTAGTTACTGTACCTACTTTTCTGGCTCAATTCACTCACTGAGAAGAGAGTAATAATATCTTGAGTTCGTGTGTGGAGAAGAGATTACTTAAGCAGAATGCTTAATGCATAGGCAGTGATTAATTAATATGTAATTACTTCTGATTCTTCCTCCAAATAATGCCATCCATGTAAAGCAACTTCATTAATGAGAGGGAAGACTTTTATTGATGACCAGACCTGTTACACGATATTCTAGTTTTTAAAACACCTGAGTCTTTTTCTCCATTTTGGTTTAGTCAGGAGACTGGAACAGAGTTCTTCCCGATTCTCACATTGTACTTACCTATATACTATGGATTTGGGCAGTTGACTTTTGCCATATACTGTCTAATTATTCCATCCTGAGCAAGAACTTCCGGATCTCTTCTAGTTTCTAGCCGGCGCCGGGCACATGGCAGGGGCCTGAGGAAAATCTGTCGAGTTGGATCTGCAGCACATCTTCTGCAAAGTGTCGCTCGTGGTGCACAGGGAGGCAGAGGGAATGCTGATGCCGGCAGCATTTCTCACTCAATCTGCTCCATGCTAAACAGGCCAGGCAGGCATTAAGTCATGTCTCTGGGTAGCATAAGTGGAAAGTGTGAACAGAGAAACCACTTTACGTGAGGGCAGCGGAAAATTAGATCCCTCGCCGCCCCACTCGGGCTCCCCTTGGGGAGGGGGCACTTATCGGCCCAGCGCCGGCCCGCGCGTGCGGCGCCCGCGCTCAGAGGCCTGGCGGGCACGCACGCTCCGCCGAGAGCCCTTCTCCCAGATGGAGCCTCGCGGCGTCGCAGCCGCGCGGCGCGATCGATACTGGATGGCGGCCGCGACCCGCCGTCAAGTGCGGGCTCAGGGCGGGGACGCAATCGTCCGCCGCTCGCCGCGGCCTCTCCTCAGCCCCGCGCGGCCGCGGACGTTAACCCGTTCCCGGCTGCTGGGCGCGCTGTGGTCTCCAGCGCCGCCCTCCCGCCGCAGCGCCGGGGCATTTGGGCCTCAGACTTGGAAGGAGCCAGACTTGGGTTTGAACGTGGATTTTCTGTGTGACTGGGGGGCAGCGGAAGTCCAATCTGCCTGGCTGTGCTCGGGGCGCGCCGTGGGGTCGCCCGGCTTCCCACAGACGGCTGTGGAGACCGAGCCTTCCGGCGTCGTCGTACGACTGGCATGGGGCGCGGGGCCAGGGGCGCCGCGCGGTCTCCCCGAGCGAGACCCTTGGACCGGAGCCCCGCCCTTGGCACCCGCTCCCACTCCTGATTGGCCGGCGCGGTCTGCAGGCGGTCCGGCCGGCGTCTCAGCTATAAAGGGAGCCCGGGCATGACCGCCGCGGTGAAGCCGGTGCAGCTCTGGGGCTCGCCCGCTCCCTGCCCCTCGCGTCCCCCATCCTTCCCGGTGCCCGAGCGCTCCCGACTCCACCATGCCGAGGGGCTTCCTGGTGAAGCGAACTAAACGGACGGGCGGCTCGTATCGAGTGCGCCTCGCCGAGCGGGTCCTGCCTCCGCTGGGGCCCCAGGTGGCTCCGGCCGCCCCCGCGGAGGTTCCCAGCGCCTCCTTGCCCGGTACGGAGCACGCGAGTCCTGGCGCCCAGGGGCGGACGGCGGAGACGGCTCAGGAACTGTCTGGGTCACCCTGTCGGGCTGCGGGGGTGAGCCCGGGGGTGGGCGGGCAGGAAGGCGTGGAGTGGAGGGCCAAGGACACGGAGGGCCCCGGGCCCAGCCGCAGCCCCGTGAAGCCTGCGGGGGCCGAGCTCCGCCGCGCGTTCCTGGAGCGCTGCCTCAGCTCGCCAGCATCCGCGGAGTCCTTCCCCGGGGGCGCCGCCGTCTTGGCCACCTTCTCCTGCTCAGGGGCGCCGGCGGTGGCGCCTTCCTCGGGAGAGCCGTTCCTCCTGCCGCTCCGGGCGCCGTTCCCGGAACCCGCACTCCAGCCGGAGCCCGCGCTCCTCCCGGCCGCCCTGCACGGGTTGAAGCGCGCGGCCGCCGGCGAGCGCCGCGTCAAGCTGACTGCGGGCTGCGCGCCCGGACCAGCGGCTGCGGGCATCAAGAAGCCAAAGGCCATGAGGAAGTTGAGCTTTGCAGACGAGGTGACCACGTCTCCAGTCCTGGGCCTGAAGATCAAGGAGGAGGAACCCGGAGCGCCATCCCGAGGTCTTGGGGGCAGCCGCACACCGCTGGGGGAGTTCATCTGCCAACTGTGCAAGGAGCAGTACGCGGACCCCTTCGCTCTCGCCCAGCACCGCTGCTCCCGCATCGTGCGCGTCGAGTACCGCTGCCCCGAGTGTGACAAGGTCTTCAGCTGCCCTGCAAACCTCGCCTCTCATCGCCGCTGGCACAAGCCACGGCCCCAAGCCGCAAGCACAGTCTCCTCCGCCGACGGGAAGCCGCCTCTGTCATCTTCGTCCTCCCCGGACTCTGGCTCCATCGCGTCTTTCCTAGCAGAGGGGAAGGAGAATAGCCGGGCAGAGCGGACTGTGGATCAGCACCCGCAAGCGAAGGACAGCTCCAGAGAGGATCAGCACCAGGACAGCGACCCGCGCCGCGGCTTCCCGGTGCTCTCGCGCCTAGAGCCACCGCTGCCACAGGCTCCCTGCACCGAGGGAGTGTTGGGGCGCCAGGGGCCTGGGCCAGGCAGTGCGAGTGGTGGCGGGGGATCCGAAATCTTCATGTGCCCGTACTGCCACAAAAAGTTCCGCCGCCAAGCCTACCTGCGCAAACACCTGGTCACTCACGAGGCGGGCTCGGCTCGCGCGCTGGCCCCTGGCTTTGGCTCTGACCGTAGGGCCCCACTCGCCTTCGCCTGCCCCCTATGTGGGGCGCATTTCCCGTCCGCAGATATCAGAGAGAAGCACCGGCTGTGGCACGCTGTCCGGGAGGAGCTGCTCCTGCCTGCTCTGGCTGGGGCTTCTCCCGAAGCGCCGGGCCCCGGAGGGGCCCCTGATGGAAGTGCGCAGCAAATTTTCTCGTGCAAACACTGCCCGTCCACTTTTTTTAGTTCCCCGGGACTGACCCGGCACATCAATAAGTGCCACCCCTCAGAGAGTCGCCAAGTATTGCTACTGCAGATGCCATTTCGGCCTGGCTGCTGAGGTCCGAGAAACCAGGCTGGCCGGGTAGAAAACGGATCATGGGAACTTCTGTGGGGCTTTCTACCACTTGCAAGTTTTACACTTTCCTTCCCATGGTTTCCCTCTTAAGACTCTCCCAGTGGTGAGTGTCCCACCAGAGGAGAGCAGGTATGTATATGGCATAAACATTCATGGTCAAAGACTCTCAGCTGTAAATCCCTTTTACTTTCCCCACCAAAATAGGATTTCCCCCCTCAAAACTCTGGAGACCCTAACGAATCCTATATGATTTGTAATTCCTATGGAAAGTCACAGTGAATGCGTGCATGTCTCAATGTCTACAAAAGGTTCTTGCTACCAAAAGTGGTAGTCACATTTTTTTTTCCTCTTGAAATCACAGGCGTCTGTGTACTTTCTGTCTCAATGGGGTCAGATATCTTGCATTGTATATTCTGTGAATTAAAAGTTACGTGGTTGGTGCCAAACTTACAGGGGGGGAGAAGACTCAAGGCCTGCATCCACAGGCAGGAAATTTAAGAGGATGTTTGCTGCTCTTGAGGATGAGAATTTTCCCCCAAACCTTTTCTTAATTATATGTACCAGTCCAATCTTGCATTAGTTTTTGGAGGCAGGGAGGGTGCTATTTTACTGGAAGGAGACACCCTCCAAATTCTTTAGCTATTTTGTGGGCAGTATTCAGGAAGACTGAAATCTGTTTACATAGCTTTTTGAAAATACTGAATTTGTTTCCTGAAGTTTGTTTTTAAGGTTTCACCTACATTTAATGCTTCTGTTGTAAATCTCATAGTGTATATTATGTATGAGATTATGTTCAGCTTTAAAAGATGTTAATACCTGTAATACACCATGGATGAATGGCAATTCACTCAATATTCAGTATTTTCTTTCCAGCAGCAACTTTTGAATTTTTTGGTAAACTGTATTCAGTGTACTCTGTATCCATCCCCTAATACCGAGTTTGGGGCACTGGCTGAGCACTGCTTGATAGCTCAGATCTGTAAGATGCTTATCACCAAATAAATGTACATAGATTGTGCTTTTTGTTCTGTATTTTTCTTATGAGTCGGTTGAACATATTTTCAGAGCCACATTTCTTATCTCCCCAATGCCAGTGATTCTAATGCCTCTTAGAATCTTAGGACCCATTTAGAATACAAAGGCAGGAGATACATTTTGCAAATCAATGTAATGGTGCAGAAATGCAATAGGAAATTTTCCTCTGAAGTATAGTGGCAAAAGGAAGAATACATTGTCTAGAAGGATACTCCCCCCACAAAAATGACAGAATATATATATATATATATATATATATATATATATATATATATTTTTTTTTTTTTTTTTTTTTTTGGGGGTGTGTACTGGGGATCAAACTCGGGACCTTGGGCTTGCAAGGCTGGTGGCAGAACCACTGAGCTAAATCCCTGGCCTGATAGAAACATATTTTAAATATTTTCTGTAAGAGCTGCTGAAGTGTTATTTGAAGATGACAAACATTTTAATGGTATTTATTTCAACATTTCAAGTTGGTATTTTCAGCCCATTTTGTGATGTATTATCAATTCATTAGATGTTTAAAATAAAGAGAAAGTACCTTAGAAACATGTAAGCAGTTAAATTTTGTTTTTTAAAAATTTTTCCATCTTAATGGCGGGAAATTGTCTATAATGTTTAATCTTGCTTCTGGTTATTTCTTTACCCATTTGTTAACAGGAACTTTAGTTTTAATTAGAAGAAAAAAATTAAGCACACTCAAAACTGTTTCAGAAAAATTTGGGAGATTTCTGAAAGTATTAAACAATGTGAAATTTAAGAAATCAGAGAAATATGTGGCTGATATAAACTGATGCTTTAAGGCGGTGCCCTGCGTGAAATTTTTGGCTAGCACTGGTGAAGATGTAAAATTTCTTATGTTTTTAAAGCTGTGGTAGGATCTTTGAGAAGTAGGTTGCAGTGTATCCTGAAAAGGGAATTTAATTTTTTTTCACAATTACCCAAGATAACCTAAGTCTATGCTTCATAGGTCACTAATAGTCATAATAGCTCTGCCTATTAAGTCTGAAAATTATAAAATATAGAAGAAAATAGTGGACAGGAAGTGATAGTAAGAATATTTTTATTGTTTTATTAAATACTATGTCATCTTTTTTATCCCTCCCCATTGTTACAAATTTGTAGACACTACATGAATGATGATACATAATTTATATTCTATGGTTTGCTGGTATGATGTATTTACACATGCAGTTGGTACTGATGTCATGCTATACTTCCTTAGGAGATGCCCAATTTAAAAAAATGTGAGCAGCTTATCTACTAGAGGAAAATGCTTCCAGAGAGTGGAATGTATACCAACTTGCACCTGCAAGTTCAGTATGAACGATATTAGATTTAACTTAGACTCCTGGGTCATGTTCCCTTTTCTTTTTAAATAATACATATAATTGGAGCAACGTATTCATATCAGAAAAGTTTTTTTCTCCTTCCCACCATCTTATTTTTGGTACTTAAGGAAGAGTATAGATACACAGCATCTATCAGCCAATATTAATGGGCCACAATCTCAAAACAAATAATATTTAACAGTGATAGCACTTAAAAAGCAAAGCATTAGAAAATTACTTGGAAGCTAAACAAATCAAGGTTCAGCAGTGATTTTTCTAATTACTTGATATGCATGGAATCATCTACATAGTCAGGAAATGAGATACTGCCTTGAGAGGAAAAAGGTAACATTAAGGGGTCGGGGATTTAGCGCAGTGGTTTTGCCGCCTGCTGCGCAAGCGCGAGGGCCCAGGTTCGATCCCCAGTACCAAAAAAAAAAAAAAAAAAATGCCAAAAGGCAACATTAAAATTCTTTCAGTTGGAATTTAAGATGCTAAATGACCATTTGATTTTGAGTGTTTTATTTTTGTAACATAATCTGTACATATCCTGTTTATTAACAGATCTGTAACTTTAACTTTACAAATGCTTAAGTTTAATTTTACGTTTGTAAAAAATTATATATTTATTGAACCATAAAGCTGTCAGGGGGTACAATAAATAAAATGAGACTATCTGTCCAACCGAATTTTGGCTCAACATTAATCATGAAATTAGAGGTAAAATTACTTAAGATGTGAGTATCTAGGAAGGTAAAGAGCATAGAATAAAACTCCACCCCCTCAAAAGATGGCAGTTTGGAGTGTAGGGGGAAAAAAATGAAGTGAATAAATATCCCAAATCTAAAATATTAAGTTACAAATTATTTAAGTCCAGTGTTTTCTCAAATAAATGTACATGAAGGAACATGCATGGCATGGCAGATATGAAGGCCTGAAGGGGTTAATACTATGTTCGTGCTAAGGTGGCTACTGCTGATCACACTGTTGGGCTGCTTGTCTCCTTAGGATTTATTGGCCGAGCCAGAGGAACGACGCAGCTTCATGGACATGCGGCTTTTGCTAGTTCGAGGAGACATTGGAGAGGCCAGGTCAGCCCCATCTACCTGCGTTGCTGTGAGAGCTTCACTGGGTAGGATCTCTGGGTAGAAGCCTGTAGGAAACAGCAAGAACATTAACACTGTCATCCAGCCTCTCATCCCATAAGAAAACAACCTGTCTGCTACTAATCTGGAGTGAGAATCCCAAGCCTAAAGGAAGTCTTTTGAGAAAAAGAAAGCCCCATATGTTCTACTCACAGCAGCCTACTAACATATTTAAAGTCCAGTGATCTGGTGGGTCATGTCATCATATTAGCAAGAAAGCACCAATCATTATCTCCAGAGTCAGAACCCTGGAAAGAGCAATGGGAAGCAAAGTCTTTGGGCCAGAAAGAACAGGGGTCCAAAGCACTTCTGCCATGCAGGAAAAGGAGCAGGAGAGAAAGACCAATTTCTGTCTCTAGGGTTCAGGTATAACCAAAAAGGGCCTTCATTACTCAAACTGGAAGAAATCGGCACTTAACAGTTCTAAACAAGTTTCAAAGAACTACTCAACACTTATGAGACCATCATACAGCCTAGATATTTAAATTAGATTTTAAAAGGAGGGAAGATCATAATTCTTATCTCAAAAATCAGTCAAGAAAGATAAAGTGACCTCAGATACTATGTTAAAAGAGGTAAGAAATGCTTGCTTTTACCTTCATTAAATTTTGCCGTTACACTGTAGATAACCAGTAAAATTAGTAGATATAGAATTTTAAAGCAAGCAGCGTGGTGGTGGACACCTGCAACCCCAGGCTGTGGCAGGAGGATCACCACAAACAAGCAAGCCTGAGCCACATACTGAGTTCAAGGCCAGCCTGAACTACATAGACTTTGTCTCAAAAAAAAGGGCCAAGGATTTAGCTCAGTGGTTCTGCCTCCTGCCTCATAAGTGCAATGTCTCAAGTTCAATCCCCAGTACCAAAAAAAAAGTCTAACATATATGTAACTGGAATTGCAGAAGAAGAAAGAGATAACAGGTCATAAAACAAAAAAAAAAAAATTAAAGTAAGCAAAGCACATTCAAATAGGAAAAGCCTTTGTGTCACTTACACAGTATTTTTCATCTCTATACTTTATGAATTATGACTCTACAATATACAGCAACAATAAAGAACCTTGCACATAGTAGGCTCTTATGAGTAAATGAGTAAGACATTAAGGAAAAACCCTTCAGAAAAAAACCTCTACAAACTAAACAAGGAAATTTAAATTGTTTCTACATATTTAAAGGTACTTTAATCTGCATTTTTTCTGGGTTTAAGTACATGAAAAAAATGGGGGGGGCATGTTTTTTTGAGACAAAGTCTTGCTATGTAGTTCAGGCTGGCTGTGAACTCACTGCATAGCTCAGGCTGGCCTTGAACTCTTGGTAATCCTCCTGCCTCAGCCTCCGAAGTTCTGGGATTACAGGCGTGTGCCACCATGCCTGGCTGTAAAAAATTTAAAAAAAAAAATTTATGTCACACATACAAAAAACCCACACAAGTTGGAGGCTTAAACTTCTTATTTTAAGGAGAGACTTTTGGCATATCTGTTAGGCCATGCAGTACCTCACTGACACTTCAAATTATGCTAGCACTTTTATATAATGAAACAATTGTGCTTAAATTGAAGTTATTAATATTTCTAACAAAAATGTTCAATAAGGAGCGCAGAACTGTATCTAAATTAAGAATATACCTTTGTAGAATACTCAGCATTTTTAAGGTCAAATGTTATAATTAGAAACATATATGTACATTTCCAAACATGTTTTGTCATTTATAACCTATATCAACTGCCTTCCTCAAAGTGACTTCTCTACCATTTTTTTTCTAACTGAAATGAGGCTGACCTTCTAAATAAATGAAGAAAATAATAGTTTTGTTCAGTTTTACTCTTCCTGAAGATCTTAATTGGTGCATACTGAAAAACTTATAAGATTATAAATCCATGGCCCATTTAGGGAAGCCCTGCAGATGGATGGCAAAAGGAAGGTGAGGAGCAGTAGCTCATGCTTTTCTGATAATGAATAATATTCCCGGCCATCAGGAGAGGCCTTCCCATGGCTGTTTACCTTGAGGCGGCCAATGGTTTCTAGCGGAGGTTTTGGGAGGAAGAGAACTATCACTGCATTTCTTTCTGTGTTGTGAATGAAGAAATGGAGTAGCGAGCAGAAGTGAGAAAACAAAAGAGAAGATAGGTAACAGATATGAGAGACATAGTGCAGAATTTTACAGATATTAACTGAGAAGCAGAGAAGAGTGATCAGGTTTTTATTATGAAATATAATTGAGCATGCAATGAGTTAGGGTGATGATGTATCACAACTGTCAATAGTTTGTACATTCAAATGTTATACTTACCAACTAACAAGTTCAAATAGGAAAAAAGAAAAGAAGAAAAAAAAGTCTATGAGAGATTCTATAAACATGTACTTTTTAAAGTATTCACTGTATTGGCAGCATTCAGAAAATTTCTAGAGATGCACTGTCTACTATGGTAGCTATGGGCCGGGGATTTAGCTCAGTGGTTCTGCTGCCTGCCTTGCAAGCGCAAGGACCTGAGTTCGATCCCTGGTACCAAAAAAAACCACACACAAAAAAACAACACTCAGCTGTACTATGGTAGCTATAGTCACATTAAATTTACATTAAATATAATTAAAACTCAAAAATATCTTCCTCTCAATTCTTCATAAAAAGACCTCCAAGAAAACTTACTTAAGGGCCAGGGAGTT